TCACAAATTGGAACTGGGTCATTTGGTCACCTTGTTAGCTAGTTAGGGGAGTCTGAGAAAGAAACTCAACCTCTGTAACAAAGAACAGTCAGAGAAAAAAACAACAGTCAGAGAAATGGCTTCTCACTGAGAGGTTAGTGATTCAAACCCACCCAGAGGCTCCATGAGAGAAATACTGAGGATCTGTTCTTATAAAGATTATGGATTAAAACCTCTATAGAGTAGTTCTATTTTGTTACACAAGATTATTATGAGCTGAAACAGCAGTGTACACAGTAGAAGATAATGACAAAAACCAGATAAAAAATACATAGAAATTGGATTTAATGCTTTAAAGGAACCTTCACAGAGAAGTTTAGAAGGAGAAAATATGTATATTTAAAATCAGGATACAATTTTCTGATGAGACTAACATGTAAGCTAAGGTTGAAAAGACACAGATGAAGAGTAGGGCAAAGAGTGTTTTAGGGAGAGGAAACGGCAAGTGCAAAGTCTTAGAGGCAAGGAAACCTTGGTAAGGTTGAGAAACTGAAAGGAAAGCCTTGAGAGCTGGGTAAGAAGCCTTGCACTGAGGGCTCGGATGGTGGACTGAGTACAGTGAAATGCCAATGAAAGTTAATGCACCTGAAGCTGGTATAAGGCGCCCACGTGGTACAGTGCTTAATGCAGCAGACTCACCATCCAAAGTTCAATGGTTCGAATCTACCAACTACTTTGAGGGAGAAAGAGGGTACTTTTCTTCCATAAGAAACCTAATGGAGGAAAACAACTATGAGAAATCATTCACCCCAGACAGAATAGCAAAATTTAACAGACCAGCAAGCAACAAATCTTGGCAAGGTTGTGGAGAAACTGGAACCCTTATTCACTATTGGTGGGACTGTAAAATGGTGCAACCACTGTGGAAGGTGGTATGGCACTTTCTAAAAAAGCTGCAAATAGAAATACCATTTGACCCAGCAATTCTAATACTGGGAATATACCCTAAAGAGACCATAACTGACATCCAAGCAGATATATGCACACCCATGTTTATTGCGGCATTGTTCACAATAGCAAGGAGTTGGAAACAACCTAAGTGCCCATCAACAAACGAATGGATAGAGAAACTGTGGTATATTCACACAATGGAATACGACACTGCATTCAAAAACAAGGAACTCATGCAATATTATTCAAAATGGGTGACCCTGGAGGACATTATGCTGAGTGAAGTATCTCAGTCACAAAAGGACAAAGACTGTTGGTGCCACTGTTGTAAAACAGGACTGACCTTGGGGTTGGGGAGAGACTGAGAAAGATGGGCTCAATAATGTATACTGCATTGAAACAGATGAGGGAGAAAACTGTTTAAAAGGGATATGAGATTAGGTATTTTTGTCATGACAGAAGTCTATAATGAAGGCTACATGGTGGAGTGGACCTGGGGGAGGGTTTGTAAAACAATGAAAGAATTTTTCTTTTATTTTTCCAAGAGGGTAGTGTACTACTAGGTGGGAGGGTTGGGAGGGGAGAAAAGTGCAACAATGAATGAATGGAAACCCAAAGTCTCTGTAAATTTTTACTGAAATTAATTAATAAATTTAAATTTTAAAAAAAAGAAACCTAATGGAGGGTCACTCTGGGTCAGAATTGATTTTGCACCAGTGGAGGGTAGTGCTAGTAATAAGTAACTTCAGGAGGTGGTTATAGGTATAAAATCTAAATAGGCCCAAATGTATTTTAAGTTTAAGGCATTTAATAGATTTTAAATAAATTTAAAAAAACCCAACACACCCATCTCAAAAGGGGGAAATATGAAAAAGAATTTCAGCTTCTCAAGGAATCCAGAATTTCTGGAGCCACTGACACTGGATAAATCCATGAGACTATGACCTTGAGAAAATTTTCAAACTAAAATATTCCCTAAGGTCTTCTTGAAATAAAATAAAAGTTTAAATTTATTAGTCTAGAATTAAAGAATATATGCCTTGAGCTCTTTTTTTTTTTCTTTTCCTTTTCTTGTGTACCATCAAATCAAATCTGATTGGCACAGGGGGAGATTGCCCCTCCTTCTCCAGCAGAGCATCTGGTGGATTTGAACCATGTGCCTTTGGGATTGCAGCACAGCTTCTTGCCAGTAGGCCACCAGAACTCTTTTGCCTTGAGCTCTTTTATGGGATCAAATAACAACAGCATCATGAAAGGCAATATGCGTAACTTAGAGGATTTTGCGTTTACCCAATGTGCTACAGTTTCTTTACCCATTCATCTGTTATTGGTCACTTGGGTTGTTTCCATTTCTTTGTTATTGTGAATAATTCTGCAAGAAAAGTTATTGTTGTTGTGTACCATTGAGTCAGAACAGACTCATAGCTGACCTTCCCATGAGTTTTCCAAGCAGTTAATGAAACAGGAGGAGATTGCCCATTCTTCTCTCACAAGGAACGTAGATGTGTGTATATCTGTTCACATAACAGATTTTATTTCTTTAGGCTACATAGCTAGTTATAGAATTGATGGATCAAATTGTATTTCTATTTCCAAATTTTTGAGAAAGTGCCAAACTACTTTCAGTAGTGGTTGCACCATTTTACATTCCTACTAACAGTGTATGGGAGTTCCCATCTCTCTACACCTTCACCAACATTTGTTGTTTATGGTCTTATTGAACTTGGCTATTGTAAGGAACTATGTAAGGTACAGTCACACAATGGAGTACTAGGAAACATTGAAAAACAATGAAGAATTAATGACATTTCATAAATCTAGAGGACATTATATTGAGTAAAATGTATCAGTTACACAAGAATTATATAAGAATACTATTATAGATAGATATATAAATAGAATTATACTAGTAAGTTTACCAGACTTGTAAAAGGAGAGAAGTAGATTAACAAGTGTAGAATAAACACTTATTAAGATGGGTGAGCTCTAGCGGGCTAGTTGCAAGAAGCTGCACTGCAATCCCAAAGACACACCGTTCGAGGTCATCAGCTGCTCCGGGGCAGAGGGATGGACAATCTCCTCCCGTGCAATTAACTGCCTCTGAAAACTTGCTGGAGAGTCAGCTGTGGGTCGGTTCTGGTTCTAATGTACACAACAACAACAAGATGGGTGAAAAGAAAGGCAAAATAGAGTAGGTGGATGATCAGACATGGTGATTATTACAACTGATGTTATAAAACAAAACATGAACAATTAATTAAAAAAAACAATATGCTTTGTAAACTTTTAATCAAATCACAATATTAGAGGTGAAAAATGGAGAGTGAGGATGGCAGCACTACTTGAAGAATGTAATCAATATCACTCCGTTGTACATAAGGAACTGTTGAACTGGTACAGGGTCTGTTGTGTGCATATTCAACAACAGTGACAATAACTAAAAAGAACTGTCTGTATCCTGCTCTGGGGGATAGTGACTGGTGTCATAAAGCTTGCAAGCACTCAGCCAGGATGTATCTCTTGGTCTCTCCCTGCCCAGAGCAAAGCAGAGGGAAGAAAGGCAAAGACTCGTTGATGTCATTAGTGGCTAGCACTGATCTCAAGAACCTCAACTTCCACAACCCTGGGACCAGAAGGACTAGATGGTGCCCAGATACAGCGCTGACCACTCTAAAAAGAGCACAGGAAAGCAGCCTGGATAGTTGTTGTTGTTATGTGCCATTGAGCCACTTGTGACTCACAGCAACCCTATACACTATAGCCTGAAACCTGCTCTATCCTGTGCCAACTTTACTGTTGATAAAAAATATGGAACAAACCCCTCAAAAACACAAAAATGGCTTACAGGTCTGGTAGAGACTAATTGAACCCCCAAAACTATGACCCTTTGTCACCTTTAAAACATGAAGCGAAATTCAACCTTGTGGCTCAACTTTCAGTCAAACAATAAAAAATGAGGCTGCTGCCATTGGTTGTTGTATCTATTCCAACTCATAGAAACCCTCCGTCATGTTTTCAGTATGTAAATCTTTATGGGAGAGATTGCTCATCTTTCTTCTATTGACTGGCGGATTCGAACTGTTGAATTTTGTTCTTGTTATTGTGTACTGTCTAATCAGAACCAACCCATAGCTGACCCTCCAGCAGGTTTTCAGAGGCAGTCAATCACATGAGAGGAGATTGCCCATCCTTCTCCTTTGGAGCTTGAACTGCTTGCCTTAGGAATTGCAGTGCAGCTTCTTGCCACTAAACCACCAGAGCTCCCTGACCTTTTGGTTAGCAGCCCAATATACTAACTACTATGCCAGTAGGACTCCTGGGGTAATTACTAGATAGTTCTAGAAGATGAAAAGAATACCAGGGAGCCACTCACTCCTTAGAATAGCTATAGGATAATATCAAAAGAGCAGCGTTTGCTCAAAGGTAAAACTCAGAAGGAAGGAAGGAAGGAAGGGCTAGGAGAGAAGATTAATGGAAATGAGAGTCACACGGAAGAAGCGAGAAGAACAATTATATACAAATATATAGATAGTGTAGATAATGTAATAAATATGTATAAATGATTGAACGAAAAATCAATTCGCTTTGTAAAATTTCACTCATATAATATACAAAAGAAATTAATGAATGAATTAATAAGACATTAGCTCCAACAGTGCATAAACCATAAAATTGTTATAAAGTGTTCAGATCTTGTGGTCTAGTCTGAGAAGCACTCGAGTTGAGGAGGATCAAGTGATTGAGTGATCAAGACTTAAGAGGTTTTTGCTACTTGCCTATTAATTTTTATTTCTTCATTTGTGTTTATTTCAGTAGTGTATTGAGCGGATTGTTACGTATTGTTGAGTCAGAACGCTAGTGGATTTTCAGAGGCAGTAAATTCTTTGAGAGGGGACTGTCTGTCTTCCTTCTGTGGAGCAGCTGATGGATTTGAACCACAGAACAATTCCTTACAAGATGCAATAACAGATGCAAAGCCCTTAGCCTAAACATAGAATCTCCAGGACACATAGCCAGCACTCAAAGCCTTAGCTAATTCCATGTTCTCCTATGATCTGCTCCATGGCGTCATGCCAGAGAAGATAGGACTTGTAGGGGTTGAGATCCCAGAGAGAATGATCTCAAGCAAAGTTGAAGAAGCATACACTGCAAACACAACAGCAAGTTGGATGAAGTTTCTGGTAATAGACTTTTGCATTAAATAAAAATGTCTACCTATAATCAGAACAGTCAGCTCCTAATGAAGCAAAAAGGAAAAAGTATTTTGCATGATGGAGAAAGCAAAAAAACCCTAGAAAAACCCTCAAGCTTTATTTTAAAAGTGCTCCAGATTAAACTAATGGCTATTCTCCATTTGCTTGGAACTCATTTTAATGAAGATGTATTTAAGTCTGAGATTCATAAAAATTCTCTTTGTGTCTTGCTAATGGATTTTTATTAATGAAAGTGCACTACTGATGTCATTAGGAACCATCAAGTTGGTGCTGACTCCCAGGGACCCTATACAAGACAGAACGAATACTACTCACCCCTGTGCTGTCTTCACAAGGCAGCTGAGTTTGAACCCATTGTTGCTGTCACTGTGTCAATCTCTCTTGTTGGGGGTCTTTTTGGCTCTTTGCTTTATCAAGCATGATGTTCTTCTCCATAAACTGGTCCCTTCTGATACCTTGTCCAAAATACGTAAGAAATCTCTCCCCCCTTACTCCGAAGGAGCATTATGGCTGTAAATCTTCCAAGACAGATTTGCTTATTTTTCTGGCAGTCCAGAGTGTATTCTTTCCCAGCAGCATAATTCAGAGATGTAAATTCTTTTTCTGTTTTCTATCCAGCTTTCAGCATGCTTGTGAGGTGACTTGAAATACCATGATTGGGGTGGGCACATCTTAGACCTCTGATTAACATCCTGGCTTCCACCATTCCTAAGCTGATTTATGCAGCAGACGGGCCCAGGGCAGTGCAGTGCTTGAGTTTTGATTGTGGCTTTCATAGATGTTGATTGTAGATCCAAATAAAATGAAATATTTGACAGCATCACTATTTCTCTCAATTATCGTGCTGTTGTTTATTCGTCCAGTTGTGAGAAATTTTGTGGTTGTGTGTGTTTGTGCGTGTGTGTGTGCGTGCGCGTGGTGGAGTATAATCAATCCAAGGTCTTTGATCATCAGTATTTCAAGACCTCTTCACTTTCAGGAAGCTAAGCTGTATCATCTGCTTATCATAAATTGTTAAGAAGTCTTCCTCAAAGCTCTGTATGTTCATCACATAGGCCAGATTCTCAGATTATTTGCTTTGCATACACACTAAATACATGTGAGAGGATAGAACCCTGATATATATCTTTCTTGAGTTAAAATCACACAGTATTATCCCCCTTTCCTGTTTGAACGCTTGCCTTTTGGTCTATGCATAAGATCTACATGAGAATAATTAAGTGTTCTGGAATTCTCATTCTTCACAATGTTGCTCATAATTCATTACATTTCTTCTAATTAATTGAGTGCTTTTACATAGTCAATAAAACACAGGCAAACATCTTTCTAGCATTCTTTGTTTTCAGCTAGGTTCCATGTGGCATCAGCAATGCTATCCCCAACTCTACATACTTTTCTAAATCTGACTTGCATTTCGGGCAGTTCCTTGTACACTGCAGTAACCATTTTTGAGTTATCCTCTGTGAAATTTTACTTGCATATGGTATGAACGATATTGCTTGACAATTCTTGCATCTTGTTTTAGGAATGACCACAAACATGCATTACTTTCAGTTGGGAGACCAGGTATCTATCTTGCAAATTACTTGCCATGAACAAATGACTCTTTCCAGTATTGCATTCATTTTTTTGAAAATCTCAGCTGGAATTCCAGTAGTTCCTGGAGTCTTGTTTTTTTATCACTGCTTTGCGGGGCACTTGAACTTCTTTCTTCTGTACGGCTGTTTCTTGAGCGTATGCTGCTTTCTGAAATAGAATGGTGACCATTTTTTCTAGTTTGGTGACTCTGTGCAATTCTTCCATCTTGTTTTCTTTTTCAATATTTCCTGTGCTTTTCAAGATTTTGGCCATATTGTTGTTGTTAGGTACTGTAGAGTTGAGTACAATTCATAGCGAGCCTATGAACAAAAGATTCCATTCTGCACCATCCTCACACTTCCTGACACACAAGAGCCCATTGCAGCAGTCATCACGTCAAACCATCTGTTTGAGGGTCTTCCTCACCTTCCTTCAATATTACAACTCTTCCTGAATTAGCAGCTAATGCTCAACCACTATTTCATATCCATGAGAAAATACTTTCATGGTTCTTGAGCTCTGGTGGCCTAGTGGCAACAAGCTGCACTGCACTCCCAGAGGTACTTGGTTTGAATCCATGAGATGCTCTGGTGGAGAAGGAGGGACAATCTCTTATTGTACCAGTTAGATCTGATTTGACAGTTACACACACACACACACACACACACACACACAGAGTTAGGATAAGCATACTCTTATCCTTTGTTTTTGCTCTTCTAATAGACAATCTTGGAAGCAGGAGTGGCATCCACTTCCTAAACAACATGCCTCTGGAAACTCTGAACTTTGAGAAATGACAATAGTTATAGAAAGGCATCAGGTCATTTGTTCATCAGGTCACTATGAGTTGTTCTCGATTCTACTGCAATCAACAACAACAACAGTAGACGATCAGATCAGCCTAATCAAAGTTCAATAAACAAAGAGAAGTGTGTAAGAATTTTTTCCCATATCGACTGTTTTTAGGTTATTCCCAGCAGGTAATAATTTCTTGGCTAGGACGTAACTTTCAGACTTTTCCAACAGATGTGGGAAGCAAATTCCCCTTTCCTGTCCATGTTTTTCCAATTTTCTTGGTTTTTTCCTGCATAGTTGCAGAAAATCACAGACTTGTCATATACACTTCTGCTATTGAATGATTCTACCTTTGACTTCGATTCCTAATAAGAAATTTAAAGAGCTATTTAGGAAGGAGTGGAGATAAGCATTGGCTATTGGGTGTTAAATTCTTTATCCTTTGTCTTAGGGATCTTCTCTATGGGAGTTTGTGACTGGCTGGTACTTCCTGTGAGGTTCTTGAGTGGTACAAATTGTTAAGTAGCTCAGCTTAGAACCAAAAAGTTGGAGGCTCAAGTATTCCCAGAAAATTCTTAAAATCCTGACAATCTACTTCTAGAAAACTCAGTCACTTGTAAATTTTTTTATTTTTTTTTTTTAAAGTCTTGGAAAATATAGCTAAACTCTGACACAAGGGCACAACAGGAATCAGACTTAATGTTTGACTACTGGTTTGGTCCCTTTTCCAAGCTCTCCTCAGCTCTGCTCTTTGTTTCCTCTCAGTGGTGCAGCCCTGCTCAATGATGGTGGGATGATGGTGATGCTAGGGCTGCCCTTAAACATCCTTTGTTCTCCATTGGTGAGAATGGTGGGCCTCATACTGTCACACAGATACCAAGTGAGCAGTCTAGTTGGGCTAGCTTTTCTGCAAAATTGTTTCAGCCAAGTTTGGTCCCTCTGGTGCATAGTAGCTATAAAGGGCAGGTTCTGGAGTCAGGGGTTCAAATTCTGCTATTTAGATACTATTTAGTAGTACAAACTACTTAACATTTTTCACCATAACATGTGAAAATAATAGTAAATTATTAGTTGCTTTGTGAATAAAATGTCCTTAGACCCAGCTGTGAGGATTAATTATACTTAAAACACACTTCTTGTTACTGTTTTAGCCTGAACCTACAGCTATGACAGCTTATGTTTGAGATTAATATCTTTCAAGTTTAGGATGTTTGGATTTTTTTAAAAATAATTTTATTGATTTTCATATAATAATTCCTTTACATTATGTTTCATTCATATACATTGTGTTTTATACAATCTTTAATTTGCATTGTGTTTTATACAATCATTCATATACATTCTACTTTACATTTTAAAAATTGATTTGTTTGTGAAATTTATATACATTGTGTTTCACACTATTCTTCATTCAAATTGTTTTTCATATAATCATTCTCATATATTATATCTTTTTTCATATATTATATTTTATAAAATCAATCACCATTGGACTTTGCCTGTCATTACCTTGTATTCTTGCCCGAATCCTTTCCATTTGCTTTCCCCCTCCCTTTACCCAGCAAACCAACCATGGGGTTGCTATGAGTTGTCGTTGACTTGACAGCACCTAACAACAACAACAACAACAATAATATGTGTGGTATGTGTGTATTTTAAATGGAATCCACTGCTTTACTATTTTCTTTTCTATCACTTAGCTATGTAAGTAGGGAATTCGGGGAATGAGGGAAAATAAAAGTAAAAACATCCTTTAAAATTGTCTTTAAACTAAGTAAGTGTGAACTCCAGAGCATTAGGAATCTGCCATTAATCTCTTTATAAAATAATGAGAATGTTTGAGATGTTTTTAAAAAGCTGGTGTAAACCAGGATAGAAATGAAAGCAGAATGGCCTGTGTCAAGTGTGTGACCTTTTGCTTAGGCGGACTGCAGAACATGGACATTTCACTCTGGGCAATCAGCTTAACCTCTCTCAACCTCATTTATAATGTGAGGATGTTTCTACCCTCCCTAAGGGAGAGTATTCAGGTGGTTAAATGAGAAAAGTCATGCAAAGCACAGGCTACATCACCCTGATAGAGTAGAGCTTCAGCATACACCATACCTGTTTCTCCTGTGTGGACTAGACTCCAATTTGTTTTGAGACAGGATAGAATCCTGTTTCATATCTCAATTCTGAAAGCCTGTGTAAAATGAACAACACACACACACACACACACACACATACTAACAATAAATAATGATTCTAGTTTTCTCTTTCTTTTTACCAGCTAACTGGATATTGCCAAGAGGGGAAGTTTAGTGGACAACTGAAACCCATGACGTTATCTGTTTATGAAGGCCAAGAACCAAGCCAACTTGTCTTCCAGGTAATGACAACCCTTGGGCGCCACTGAATTGATTCCATGGCTTTTTCTCAGTGGACTTTACCCCCTTATCTAATTAGGGAGCAGGGAATAGAGGCAGGGCATATCTCAGTATCAAAATGATTGCAGAAAGCTAAGTTGAACAGTGAGATGGCCTCAGCATTGTAAAGAATTGAAACTATGTCCTCATGCATGATTTCCTTAATTCTCCCCAGGCAAGGTTGCTTGAAACTTTAAGTGCCAGTTACCCACTATGCATTATTTCATTGTTTCTTATGTTGCTTCATAATTCATAGAACAAAAATTTTGATGACTCATATTATGAATATTCTACTGAAGTTATACTATAATAATTTATCCATATTTAGTTTTTAACCATTTAGTTTTACCAATATTATAAATAGTGCTGTTTGTACTTCAAGTATAAGGATCCTTGGTGGCATAGTACATTCCATGGCAGGCTGCTAAGCTAAATATTGGTGGTTTAAATCCACTAGTTGATCCTTGGAAGAAAGATGAGGCCATCTGTTTCCCTTAAGATTTATAGATTCAAGAATCTACTGGAGGGTCACCATAAGATGGAATCAATGCAATAGCAGTGGCTCATATGTTAAGCATGCAGTTTACTGTTCAACGGATATTATTTTAGGGTAAATTCTGTAGGGTAATATTTGTTATCAGTGACTACAAACATTTTATGTGTCAAATTATTTGCAAAAGTATTCTACTAATTTACATTTGCTACCACAATATATGTGCTTTCTAATGTCCTAAGCAACACTGGCTGCTATTATGCTTTAAATTGCTCATTTTAAAAAGGTACAAAATGGGAAGAGAACTTTGTTTGAATTATTGATGGTATTAAATAATTCTTATGTCTACTTTTGTGTCAATAGTGTATTCTTTGGGTCTTAAACATACCATAACTAGCCCATGAATAGTAACTGATGCTTACTTTTGAAAAAGTAACTAAAGGATATTAGACAGTGACTTATCAAGAAGACTGTGACTTTTTGCATTCGAGTTGATTCCAACTCATAGCACCCTGCAGTGGTTTTCTTAGGCTGTAAGTCTTAATGGAAGGATACGGCTAGCTCCCTGTCTTTCTCCTGTGGAGTGGCTGGTGGGTTTAGACCACTAGAATCAGTCACCTTTTGGTTAGCAGAGCAATACTCCTTTAACAAGTACAAGTCACTTTTAAATGGTTTTCCTTAACTCTAAGACATCTTTCAATCTTGTCACACTTTTTAGAAACACTAAGGACGTTCTTTTCATCCTCGCAAGAAATCTACCTTCACCAATATTTCTTAAAAATTAATCATTTCATGGCTTTCAGATATTCCCAAGAAAACTTTACCACAATGACGACAGTTATAGAAAGGCTTCAGGCCTTTTGTTCATAGGGTCGCTATGAGTCATGCTTTCCTTCTTTTGAGTTTTCCTATGAGTGAAATAATGGATTATATAATAATTCTATTATTAATGGCAATCAACAATAATATCAAGTTGACTTTTGTCGAAATATTGAATGACAGTATACCTGATTTCTTTTTTTTTAAATAACATTCAGTTTATTACAAATATTTAGTATTGGCTTCCCATATTTCCCCCCTTTTGTTTTTATCATAATTATGTTCTCATCTAGATGAGCAGTATACCTGATTTCTTAAGGAAATCCAAATATATTTTGAATACTAGCCAGCTTGCAAACAAACTTTTAGAATGCATTAATTAAATAAGGATTTCTTATTTAGAAATTGTGTAAATAAAACTTTGCCTGAAATGAGTGACTTTGTACAAATTCCATAACTTTATTTTTCCTCATATTTTCATCTATTCCCCCCCCCTTTATATTCTGTCCCCTTTAGTTTAAGGCCAAACCTCCTGCTGTGAACTTCAAATTAACTGGGGAGACATATGGAATCTTTGAGATACAAACGGATGGATATCTGTATTATACCCAGGCCTTGGACAGAGAAACAAAAGCTGTTTACAATCTGCAGGTGAGTTGAGACAAGAAAGTTTGCCTGCAACCTCTGCAAGCCTCCTTTGACTTGAAAACATTGCTGGTATACATACCTTCAGCCCTTGTGAAAAATTCTATACAGTCTCCTGATTTTGACTGTCTGGCTTGGAAACCTCCAGGCTCAATTTCTGTTTATCTACAGGGAAGCATAGTCCTAGACTTGGTGACCAAAGTAATTCCATTCGCGTGGTGAAGCCCTCAGCACTGCATCTAAAAGTATGGCTGTACTCAGCAGCCAAGTTCAAGACCAGACCAACATTTCTTTGATTCTGCATTGGCATCTACTAGTGGCTATTGCAGAGACCTTGAACTCACAAAAAGAGTAGGATCGGTTTGGGGATGGTTTTAGAACTTAGAAGAGGAAAAAAAAACAAACTAAAGATCAGAGGGTGACTAAGGGTGACTCCTTTGTCTGTTTCCACCCTAAATTGCCTTCCTGGTTGCTGTATGTCTGAGTACTCAGGGATAGTGGAAAGCTGACTAAGAGAAAAACATGCCAGGTATCTGCAGCTGTTGATTCTGCCACCATAATGGTCCTGTAAGAGGGCGTGCAATTCCATAGCCTCAAGGTCAAGGTGCTTTCATTTGACCCCAAACTGCTGGATAATTAGAGGCATTGTTAACCTGGGTTAGCTCAGTGTCCCCGATTACAATTTAAAATAATTATTGTTATAGTGGCTCAGCTGTTAATGGGAAGATTAGTGGTTCAAGCTACTGCCGCTTCGTGGAAGACAGATAGGACATTCTTCTGGAAAAATTATGGCATTGAAGACGCTACTGGACAGTTGTAATCTGTAGTAGAGATTTATCATGAGTTGGATTAACTGGATGTCCATGGCTTTGGGGAGCTTACTAGATATAAGAAAAAATTTGCTTTCTAAACCATTTTTAGGGAGTTCTGGGGGCCTAGTGGTAAGAAGCTGAACTGCAATCCTGAAGGCACATGGTTAGAATCCACCAGCTGTTCCAAGAGAGAAGCATGGGCAAATTCCTCCTATACGATTAACTGCCTCTGAAAACCAGCCAGAGGGTCAGGCATGGGTCGATTCCAGCTCTATGGTATACAACAACCACAAACACAGCCACAACCCATTTTTGTGTGTACAATTCAGTGATGTGAACTACTTTTCACTATGTTATGCTACCCTCGCCACTATCCACTTCCAAAACTTTGATATTATCATTGAAAACTTTGACCTCTATGCATTTGCCTATATTCTAAATACTTCACATGTGTGGGATTATATAGGTCTACAAAGGAGCTGTTGGATTCCAACCACATACCTTCAGGATTGCAGTGCAATGTGTAACTTCTTACTACTAGGTCACCAGATTTTTTTATATGTACATATATATATATTTATATACTTACATATTTCTTTTTATATTTATAAATTTATATTTTTAGATATATTTATATTTATATATATATAAATAACACAGACACACACACACACACACACACACACACACACACACACACACACACTTGTTGTGTACTGTTGAGTCAGACTCTCCAGAGGGCTTTCAAAGGCAGTTAATCATATGGAATGAGATTGCTCATCTTTCTCTCACAGAGAAGCTGGTGGATTTGAACTTCCAGTCTTTGGGTTGCCAGTGCATATACATAAAGATGTTGTTATTGTTGTGTGCTATCAAGGTAGAACTGACTGATAGCTGACCCTCCAGTGGGTTTCCAGAGCAGAGTCTGGACTGACTTGTAGCTGACCTGCTGGGTTTCCGTGACTGTAAACCACACAAGAGATGTTTATATCAAGTTGCTGCTGATAGATTTAACCCCCAGAGAGTTACATCCTTTGGGTCAACAGTGCAACTTCCTCTGAACTATGCTGCCGCTGAGCTCCCGTGTGTGTGTGTGTGTGTGTGTGTGTGTGTGTGTGTGTGTGTGTGGTGGGGGGGGCGTGTACACACAATTTTGTTTTTCCATTTTATTTTGTACTTGGATTGTTTCCAACTTTTGGTTGTTTGAGTCTTTGCTTTCCTTCTTTTGAGTTTTTCTATGAATGAAATTGTGGATTATATAATAATTCTACTTTTATCTCTTTGAGGAAACACCACACTTTTCTACAGCAGCTGTTCCATTTTTCATTCCCATCAGCAAAGCATCAAAGTCCTTATCTCTCTCTAGTGTTGGAAAAATGTATTACTAGCTTTTCTGATTGCAGTAATTCTGGTGCATATGAAGTTAGCAGCTCCTGTTTTGAGCTTTATGAGGTACTTTTTTCCTTTCTAGTCCACAGACTGTTGGTCACTTGAGTCCTAATTTCCTCTAAGTGATGTTTGCCCACGTGCTGTGGAATCCAGTTTCTCCAGTGTGGTTTCTTTTTCTTTCCCCCTTTAACATCAGGTTGAAGCTCTAGATGCCAATGGAGTTACAGTGGAGGGTCCAGTAATCGTCACCATAGAAGTGAAAGACATCAATGACAACAGACCAACATTTCTCCAGCCAAAATATGAAGGCTCAGTGAGGCAGCATTCCCGTCCAGGTAAAACACTGACCACTGGAGATCTTGGTGGAGAAGTAGAAGGTTATCAGCCAGAAAAGGCAGATTAAAGTGGACAACATTTCAAGTTACCACTTAGTAAGCACTTATTCCAGGGCTGCATCTGTTGATTGAAACAAGTCAATTGGTATCCCATCAATTTCTGGGGCTTTATTTTTTGCCAATGCCTTCTATGCAGCTTCAACTTCTTCCTTTCTTACCATTGGCTCCTGCTTATTTGGTACTTCTTGAAATTTTTCAGCATCAATCAGTTCTTGTTGGTATAGTGACTCATTGTATTCCCTCCATCTTCTTCTGATGTCTCCTGGGACATTCAATATATTGAATTGCCCATAGCATCTTTCAATATTGAGACTTCAAGCTTAAATTTGTTTTTCAGTTCACTCAGCTCGAGAAACGCAGAGTTAATCCTTCCCTTTTTATTCTCCAATTCCAGCTCTCTGCACATTACATTATAATACTTTCTCTGTCTTCTCGAACTGCGCTTTGAAACTTTCTGTTCAGTTATTTTATTTTGGCATTTTTTTTGTTGTTGTTTTTGTTTCTCACCCCTCTAGTGCAATTTTCAGAGTCTCTTCTGACATGAGTTTCAGTTTTTTTCTTTCTCCTCTGTCTTTGTAATGACCTTTTGCTCTCTTCATGGATGACATCCTTGATATTATCCCACGACTCATCTAGTCTTCCATCATTGTGTACAATGCTTCAAAGCTATTCTTAAAATGATTTTAACATTTAGATGGACTGGCTTCAAGATCATATTTTGGTTCTCATGAACTTGTTTTCCTTTTCTTCAGCCTCAACTTGAATTTGCATGTGAGTAATTGATGGTCTAACCCACAGTCCTCCACTAGCCTAGTTTTGACCATAGGTATTAAGCATCCCCAATGATATATCGATAAATATAATCAATTTGTGGAAGGAATCCTACACACACCATCAGATGAGGTCCATGTGTAAAGTCACCATTTGTGTCTTTTTAAAAAGGCATTTTTCAATGAATAAATTATTGAAAATACAAAATTCCATCATTCTATCTCCAGACTTATTTCTATCACCAAGCCCATATTTTCCAACCTGTATTCTTTCTTCATTGTTTCCAACTTTTGCATTCAAGTCACCAATTACCATTAACGTATCTTGATTGCATGTTTGGTAAATTTTGGACTGCAAGATTTGGTAAGAATTTTCAGTTTCTTTCTCTTTGGTTCTAGATGTAGGAATGCATATTTGAATATTTGAATAGTAGTCATATTAACAGGTCTTCCCTGTAAGCCTATGGATAATATCTTATCAGCTACACCATTGTATTTCAAGACAGAACTTGAAATTGACATTTTGGCTATGAAGACAATACCATTCTGTTTTTCATTCTCAGAATAGTATGTCATGTGAAGATCTGACTCAAAGCAGCCAAAGCTAATCCATTTCCTCTCACTAATATTTAGAATGTCAGTGTTCATACAGTACATTTCATTTTTTACAGTTTCTAGTTTTTCAACATTCGAGCTACATACATCCCATGTTCTAATTATTAAAGAACGTTTGCCATTATTTTTCCTCATTTCGACTGACTTCCAATTTGGGCTCTACCATTAATACTGTAACTATCCATGTTCCTCTACAGGGTCTTCAGAGATCTTGTTATTTAGGAAGTAGGTAGCCGAGAGGAGTGAACTGGTTGGGGGGGAGGGAGGGGGGCTGGGCAGGGAGAAAAATGCAACAATGAATGAATAGAAATCCAAAATCTCTGTAAATGTTCATTAAAATTAATAAAAGAAAATGAAAAAAAAAAAGAAGAAGTAGGTAGCCAATCCTGCTTCCTAGTCTATCTTAATCTGGGAGCTCTACTAACACCTGCCCACCATGGGTAATACTCATGACCTAAGGACTCCCTGAGTGGGACAGTTGATGCATTTGGCTGCTAACTTACACGTTGGAAGTTCATGTCTACTCAGTAGCAAAACCGGAAGTCTGGCTATCTCCTTCCAAAAATTCCACCATTGAAATCCCTGTGGAGCATAGTTCTAAGGTTCTGAGGAACTAAAATTAACTGCCCTGTAACCAATTTGGTTTATCTTATTTAAATTTTCCTGCTATAGTTCTGCCTTGACTGCACCCACAACAAAAAACAAGAAGTGATCCTCTGGGAGTTTGTTTCATTATCGCTAGAGGAAATCCCCTCCTGTGAGATTTACTGCCTTTTAAAACACGCTGGAAGTCAGCTGTCTCACACACTGTCCAATTTGACAGTACACAACAACAATAATATCACACTAGGTTTGGGCTTCCTAAGCTTGGCACTATTAATTTCTTGGATCTTTTGTTGTTGCTGTTGTCTTAAATGTCAGAGACTCTACTGCTTTGTAGGATACTAAGTAGTATCCCTGACCTCTGTTCTACCAGATGACAGCATCTGCTCCCAAGTACTCAAATCATTGGAACAAAATTTCTCCACACAAACACACAAACTACACAAATATTCCTTGAAGAGAGACAGGCAGAATGTCCCGCCTTTGAGAACCACTGCTTTAGAATGAGGGAGTTCTCCATAGGGAGCTGCACTAACTCCAAGGCTGGGCCTCTCTCATGGTTTGAGGGCACCAATGACTCTAAAGGAGACAGATAGATGTTCTTCTCTCATGAGATTTATAGCCTTTGGAGTCCGATGGAAGCTCAGAGCTGGTTCTGACTCAATGGCAATGAAATATGTTAGGGAAGAACTAGGACTAGTTAGTGAGAAAAGAAAGTCAAGTTCACTATTTCACATCCTCCCAGAATCTAGATCCCAAAGAATATGTCTAGCTCCCAGTTCTTTCCCTTGTCTTACATCCAACTCCCAGCAATAGCTCATCTCTTCTCTATGCTGTATTGATCTTCCTTCTCTCCCACAAAAGTCCCTCCCTAAAGTACATGTAGTTCAGCAAGTTTGACTGAAGATTTGGGGCGATGAAGAAATGTCACATTAGAGTAGTTCTCAAAAGAAAAGTGAATAGTTCTCAGGAAGACTATTAGCCATTTCCACAAACTCACTGTCAAGTTTCCTTCTGTTTCTTAATCTTCCCTTTCATTTTCAATGCTTGCTTCCATTAGCTCAGAGAAACGTCCTTTGATTTTATTATGAAGAACAATTTCACCACCTCTGTGTCATGGTAATAGTTTTGGTCCTTGAGATTGTGCATCAAAGATTCACTCATGAACTTTGCTAGTAAGCATTCTTCTCTAGGCTTTACTCTTTCTCTCTTCACCAATTGCATCTTTTAGAATATGAAAACTCCTTGGTCTCAAGACTCCTTTACTCTCTTAAAAAATGGCTAACAATTCCAAAGGACCTATGTATAAGTGGTTCATTGTCAATAATGTGCTGATAAATTTCCAATAATTGCCCTGGGGGAAAAGTTCTGATTTGTAGGATTTACCAATTTCAATAGTGTAAATACTCCCTCCATAGCCATGTTACAATACCTTGCAACATTTTAAAATATTTAACCATTGACTTAAAAAAAACCCCATTACATCCATTGCACTTTGAGTAGATCTTGTATGTATGCATGATTTTGACTTTTATGGGGCTCTTGAATCAACCTAAGGAACTCTAGAAGCCACCTGGCTCCTTTTTTGAGAACTTTGATTTAGGAAAAGAGTTGTTATTGTTGTTGATTGCCGTTAAGTCAAGTACGACTCACAACGACTCCATGAACAAAAGACCTAATGCCTTTCTATAAGTTTCTCCAAGTTCATAGAGTTTTCATAGATATGAGGTTTAGGAAGTGGATGCCACTCCTTCTTCCAAACCTGTCCTACAACTGTGAACTCCACAAAACACTGTCAACATTGGTAAACCACTATGGTATTTGATACCCCAAAGACACAAGATTCAGCATCACAGCAAACACAGATGACCTCATTACAGCAAATTGACAAGGAGTGATGTACAAAGTAGAAGGATGTTCCTCCAAAATATACATTAGAATCATTTAGCAGAATAAAACCTCATTTCTCTTTGATATGACTTACATCATTTCTCCAGTCAATCTCTACACCTTGGAAGGCAATGGTTGGTTTAAGTGTTAACTTACATTTGTTTTTCCCTGGGTTCCTTTTTCACACAGGGAAGCCATTCTTATATGTCAATGCTACGGACTTGGATGATCCAGCTACTCCAAATGGTCAACTTTCTTATCAAATTCTCATCCAGCTTCCCAAGATCAACAATGCTATGTACTTTCAGATTGACCAGAAAACAGGAGGCATCTCACTTACCCCAGAAGGTAAGTCAGGGGCTATCCCTATAGGACCTCTGAGTCAGAAAAAGGGATGCATGTCTATATTACCTTTGAAACATCTGCTCTGTTATATCTCCTTTGTCTCCTTCAGGATCTCGAGAAATAGATCCTGTTAAGAATCCTTCTTACAATCTGGTGGTCTTAGTGGCAGACATGGATGGCCAAAGTGAGAATTCCTTCAGTGACACCACATCTGTGGATATTTTCGTAAAGGAGAATATTTGGAAAGCACCGGAGACTGTGAAAATTGAAGAAAACTCAACTGAGTCTCACCCCATCAAAATCACTCAGGTTGTGCCCAGTTAGTACTTAAAGCCCACTAAAGAAATGACTCAGGGTCTTTGCTAATATTTATTATATACAACTTTTTAAATGTGCACTTTTAATTTTTATTTATTTATTTTTTTAAATTTGCTTAGAGGCTTACAAATCATCCTCCATACATTCACACATGTCATTAGGTACCTTTTTGCACAACCTAATTACTAAGAAAATTTTGATGAAAAAAATGTCTGGAATTTACTGTCGTGGTCAGAAAAACTTTGATTCTGGTATAGGTTTGAATTTTAGGAGAGAACTTCTCTGACTTTCACCTTCGAAGGTACTACTACTGATTTCTTCCTATTGGCAATATGGGGCCTGGTTGCCATAAAGTAGGCTGTGTAAGGTGCATGTATCAAGTACATGAAGACACTCTGATGGGGTAATTGTTCTGCTAACTGAAAGACTTTGATCTCATTAACCACTCCATGGCAGCGTTCCACCATCAACCTGAAAGCAGTTGGTATTTTAGTTATCCAATACTTGTTTGGATTACTTTAAGTCTCAAATGATTTTGAAAGGCTACTATTGATTCTTCTGGGTAAAAATCTTGCTCCAATAGACCTATCCCATCAGAGACTGATGATCAAAGGGCCAAATAGGCAACTCTTGCCCTTAGAGCTGCCCAGCCCTGGCTCCTTCTCTGTGTGTCTGTTTTCTCTTCCAGTGTCACTCTACACTGCCTTCCATTTTTCAGTCTCCTCCCACATCAGGGCCTAGAATCTACTCTGGGATTTGGTTTCTTACACCATGAATTTATCTTAAACTTATAAATAGCAGACAACTCTTGTAAGATCGTTTGATGATTAAATGAGATGGCATATAAAAAGCATTTAGAATTGTATCTGGCATGGGGTAAACCCAAATTGGCATTACTGATAGTATTAATTCATCAGACAGGCCAGACTATCTATAGCAAGTAGACTAATCTTTCTATTGAGTTTAATTTTGCTGGATTATTTGCAGAACAACTCCAGGAATTTGTAGTTATTCTTGAAGTCTTTAAGGTTAAATATTTAGGGATTTAATGTGACATGTTTATGTACCAGCTTTATGTAAATAATAGCATGGAGCATAGGTTCAAGTGTTTCTTATTCCTTTTATTCCTCTTCATTGGTGAGTTTTAGAAGCTTGTCATAGATCATGGCTTATTTCTTCAGATAATGTCAACTACAAGTTACATTTTATGAAAAAGCCTTCTCAAACAGAATATCAAAATGAAAATATCAACAAATTATTTGGAAGATATGTATATCACTACTTTAGGGAAGAAAAAACACTCTAATGTGCGTTTTTGAACAATACAATTTGGTAAAAACAGAGTTTGGTTTTGGTTGCAAATTAGAATCCATAGACATAAAACAAGCTGGTCAGAAAATTTCCATCAAGGACCATAAAACAGTTTCTTTTCTTTCTAGTTCTCTTGGTCCTGATGTATCATTTTTCCTCCCAATTACCTCTGGACCCTGTAGGTGCAGTGGAATGAACCAGGTGCCCAGTATTCCTTAGTGGAACTAGAAAAGCTGCCAAGATTCCCATTTTCAATTGACCAGGAAGGAATTATCTATGTGACTCACCCCTTGGATCGAGAAGAAAAGGATGCGGTGAGTAATAGAAAGATTTCATGAGTCGGAAGAAAAATTCCTATGACCAACTATGGCTGAGAGCAAAATTGATTTTCCTATCATTCTAGTGGCAACGTTGGCAGGAAGTTGTGCTGTTAACTCAAAGGTGGCACCTCTCTAGTGGTTGGAACCCACCAGTGATTCCACAGGAGAAAGATGGCAGTTTAGTTCTGGGAAATTTACAACTTGGAAAACCTGCTATAGGAGTCAGCTATGAGTAGATTCTGACTCAACAGCAGTGAGTTAGTTGAGTTGAGTTGAACTGACTATTGTAGTAGCAGAAAGTGCTGGTGGTATAGTACATAATCCACAGGCTATGCAAACCTACTGTTTGTTGTTGTTATCGAGTCACTTTCGACTCATAGCTACCCTGTGTACAACAGCCTCTAACCCTGCTCTCTCTCTTGCTAACCTTATTGTCTCTGACACACCTAACCCCACTACCCCAGTCACTGAATCAATCCATCTCATCAAGGGTCTTCCTTTCCTGTGCTATACATCCACCCTCCCAAGCATGACGTCCCTCTCCAAGGACTGATCCTGCCTTGCAGCATGTCCAAGATAGGTCAAATGGAGCTTCGGAATCCTTGCCTCCAAGGAGCAGCCTGGCTTCCCCAAAAGAGAAAGATGGGTTCTTTCCTCCCATGCAGTGCACAGCCTAAGGAATTACAGAGACCCTTCTCCCACTGGAGGGTCAGCTATGAATGGGAACCTACTCAAAAGCAATGGGCTATGTTTGAGTTTAGTACTCTATCACTAATGGTGTTCTGAGCTGCAGCATATCACGGGTTCTTAAAGACTTGATAATTTCTCAGTTCTAATGGGGGAAAAAGCTGATGAAATGGATATAAAATATCTGGGTTTTTTTTTTCTGCCTTTAAAAAGAGGATGGTAACAGAGGTAAGAAAGAATGGTCTAAAATGAATATATGATTAGACATTATATGTATGACAACAGCCCAGAATGAGAGCTCTATCATTGCAAAGAGGGCTGGAGGATGGGGAGAAGGTAGGTAATTCTGCAACAATGAATGAATATTAAAAAAAAAGTGAACTGGGGGAGGGGGGAGGGAGAGCGAGGTGCTAAAATGTTCAACAATAAATGAATGAATGAATGTAAATCTAACTTCTCTGTAAAAGTTCATTAAAATCACGATTAAAAGAAATTTTAATTTTTTAGAAAAGAGGTTGGTGACAGAGGCATGTATTAATTTTGACCTTTTTTGTTGCAGTATGTCTTCAATGCCGTTGTAAAAGATGAGTTTGGAAAACCACTTGCATGGCCTCTGAGAATTCATGTTGAAGTTCAAGACATTAATGACAATCCACCAACATGCCCATCTGCAGTGACTGTATTTGAGGTTCAGGAAAATGAGAGAATAAGTAAGCATTGATAGCTAATTAAATGTTATACTACCTGTTCTTCCTGTGTTATCATTATGATCCCCTTTTCCTCTCTGTCTGATAAAGGGTAGGCAGATGACTAATCAGACATCAGTTGTCTCTATCTAGAGGCTGAATGCACAATGTGAGTCACACAGATACAGTGCTTCTGCTCAAACAGTGTCTAGGACCAGTTGCTGTCAAGCTGATAGTGATCCATGGCAGAGTAGAATGATCCATTGGGTTTTGGGGTTTTTTACAATTTATTATTAATTTCAATGAAAATTTACAGAGACTTTGGATTTCCATTCATTCATTGTTGCACTTTTCTTCCCTCCCAACCCTCCCCATGCCCTAATACACTACCCTCTTGGAAAAGTAAAAGAAAAATTCTTTCATTGTTTTACAAACCCTCCCCCCAGGTCTACTCCACGATGCAGCCTTCGCTCTGGACTCCTGTCATGACATAAATACCTAATCATGTATACCTTTTAAACTGGTTTCTCCCTCATCTGTTTCAATGCAGTATACATTATTGAAGCCCATCTTTCTCAGTCTCTCCCCAACCCCAAGGTCAGTCCTGTTTTACAACAGTGGTACCATGCAGTATTTGTCCTTTTGTGACTAAGATACTTCACTCAGTATAATGTCCTCCAGGGTCACCCATTTTGAATAAAAATGCATGAGTTCCTTGTTTTTCAATGCAGCGTAGTATTCCATTGTGTGAATATACCACAGCTTCTCTACCCATTTGTTTGTTGATGGGCACTTAGGTTGTTTCCATCTCCTTGCTATTATGAACAAAACCACGATAAACATAGGTGTGCATATATCTGCTTGGATGTTGGTTATGGTCTCTTCAGGGTATATTTCCAGTATTGGAATTGCTGGGTCAAATGGTATCTCTATTTGCAACGTTTTGAGAAAACACCATACTATTTTCCACAGCAGTTGAACCATTTTACACTTCCACCAACAATGAATAAGGGTTCCACTTTGTCCACAACCGTGCTAGCATTTGTTGCTTGCTGTTCTGTTAAATTTTGCTATGCTGACTGGGGTGAGATGATATCTCTTAGTTGTTTTGATTTTCATCTCTATTAGAGCTAGGGATTTGAACATTTCTTCACATGCTTGTTAGCCATCTGAATGTCTTCTTTGGTGAAGTGTCTGTTCATATCCTGTGCTTATTTTTCAATTGGATCATTTACCTTTATCTTGCTGTGGTGGGTTAGGAGTTCTTAATACATATTAATTGAGAGCTCTGGTGGTACAGTGGTAAGGACCTGCACTGCCAACCCAAAAGCACTCAGTTCGAATCCACAATTGGCTTCATGGGAGAAAGACGGGAAATCTCCTCCTGTGCAAGATACGGCCTCTAACAACCTGCTAGAGGGTCAGTTTTGAGTTGGTTCTTCCAACTCAATAGCACATAAAAACAATAACAACATTATTCTATCTACTTAGGTTAAAAAACTACAAGACAAGGTATTTGACCATTGAAGATAGACACAGATGGAAACATAAGCCAATAAAACCTCAATACTTTACTAAATTATTCCTTAGTGTGCTTGCATTCCTCTCTCTGAAGTATTGTGTTATAAAACCTTATAGGAACCATGTGTCCAAGACTTAGTAACACTAACCTTAATTGTTGAATTCCACTTGTTGATAGGTCCTACACGTTCAGAAGGAACTTGAGTCTCCTAATAAAACTCTAATTCACTAAAGTCTTTCAGGATGTTCCCAGTGAATTCTGTATGTATCCCTGAATCAACTATGACTGTCACTCGTTCCTAGCCTCTGCCACTAAGAGACATCACACCTTTGTCCCTTCATAAAGCCTCCTGTCCCTATCCCTCTAAGGGGAATGGCCAGTCAGAATTTTCCTGACCTCTAAAGCCAAGAAATCTCGCAGTACTACTGATGCATAGATTTTTTTATCCTGGAGTGAGAGGAGGACAGGGTCCTTTATGCTGTGATCACGAGAGGATCACAGAATTCAGTAGGAAATCTTTCACTCTCTGATACAGGTATTTTCTTTCTCATAGAATACCACCCACACTACAACTGTAACTTGGTTGCAATAACAGCTGCCATTACACCATTACACTCTTTTCTGCTCTTGATGGCTCTCTGTATGTGCCCATTTCCATTATAGACACATCATAGATATGTTTATATGTATTTTTATGAAAATCAGTGGGTGCACATAGTTATAGGGGAAAGGGTAACCTATCTTTCACAAATGGGAAGTATTCAGGTTTTAGCTCCAAGGTAGGACTACTGATGCATGTGAAAAGACCTACAATTTTAGTCTCGCAGAACAAGATGATCCAGAACCTAATGAAACTTGCTCACAGCTGAGTAGAACACTGAGTCATAGCCACTGACTTTTCTTGGAACTGCCTGGACCGAGACCCTCACAAGATAGAACATTTAGAATCGTAAGCTGCAGCTTGGCAGAGGGGAAGCACGATAGCCCTTTGTCTTCTGTTATTGTCTGAATGATGTCAGTCTCTGTGATTGTTCCTAACATTGCACAGAGCAACCTTAGGAAGCAGGTTTCTCCTTATATAACCACAGAATGTATCTTGAAAGGACTCAAAGACCTAAAAGAAATCAAAGGGTCTTGGTTTACTACTCATATCCACTTTTAGTATATAGCCTATGAAACCATTTTAAGAGATTAATGCATTATTACAAGATGTATTTAATTTCCTTTTTTACATTTTATACTGACTTATTTACAAAGTTTGAATACATTGTTTTTCACAGAAGATCCACCCCCCATCCTCACCCCTCTATTGCCACCCACCCCCTTGGATCACCATACTCATTCTACAATAATTCCATATGACCCAGCTAATGCATTGCTTGGAATATACCCCAAGAAAATGAGAACTGAGGCTCAAACATTGTATACACCAATGTTCATAGCAGCATTATTCACCATCACAAGAAATTGAAACAGCCCAGATGTTCAACCACAACGAATGGATTGAGAAGTTCTGGTACATTCATACAATGTAGCACTATGCAGCACACAGGAGCAATCATTTTGTAAATTACTACCTAACTTGGGAGGGACTGGAGAGCATTGTACTGAGTGAACTAACTCAGTCCCACAAGGGCAAATACTCTATAAAACCATTATTGTATTTAATTATTTAATGTGGTTTCTTTATTATAAGCCCTGTAAATAATACTATTACAGAGTTTATATTTCATCCCAAAGGTGGTGCCACTCTGCAGTTCAAATCCACCATTTGATCTTTGGGAAAAAGACAGGCAATCACCTCTCGTGTAATTTAAAGCCTCTGAAACAGCACTAAGGAGCAATGATTTAGTAAAAATATTACATAACATGAGAGACTCTAGGAAGCATTATGCTACGCTAACTAATGCAGGTGCATAAAGACAAATACTGCATGAGACCATTATTGTAAAAATAGAGGGATAACTAGTAAGATGTGTATGGAAGTCCAAAAGGGGAAGAGGCGGGGACAAAGGAGTAGCAAGTGGGAGGAGGAAGATCACTAGGATAGCTGAGTTCCTTGGGTGGGTATCGAGGATCCATTCTTCTAGGTAGGAAGAAATGGAAATGATCAAATCTGGACCTGAAAAGATGGGGTAACGGTAGGCACAGATCAATGGTGATTGATTTTATAAAACACAGTGTATATAAATGATTGTATGAAACACAATGTGAATAAAGAAAGCACAACATACATGAATGAAACACAATGTCTACTAATCTTGTTTGTAAACCAATACAAAATAAAATGTATATTAAAAAAAGAAAACAAAAACCTACTGGAGTGTCAATGTGAGTCAGTTCTGACTCCACAACATTGAGTCCGAGTTTGAGTTGAGTAATGGATAAATTTCTTCTTTCTTTCCCCACAGGTAGCAATATAGGGACTTTTACTGCCCATGACATGGATGAAGAAAACACTCTAAGTAGTATTTTAAAGTACAGCATTTTCGGACAAACTCCCAATATTCCCAAAGATGGACTCTTCATGGTTTCTTCTCACACTGGAGTGTTACAGTTGGCTAAGCAGTCCTTGAAGAAGCAAGATTCTCCTCAGTACAACTTAACAGTGCGGGTGTCTGACAGTGGTTAGTATCCTACAAATGGTGTGAGTAAAAAAAATATTGTTTTCCTTCTTGTAACTACCTGTTATTTTTTTTAAAAAAATTATTGTTGAAGGGAGCTCTGGTGGCCTAGTGGCAAGAAGCTGTGCTGCAATCCCGAAGGTGCACAGTTCAAATCCACCAGATTCTCTGCTGAAGAAGGAGGGCAATCTCCTCCTGTGCTAGTCAGATCCAATTCAACAGTACACAAGAAAAAAGAAAACTAAAAAAGAAGAACTTCTAAAAAAAAACCAAACATTATTGTTGAGTTGGAACCAACCCATGACTGACCTTCTGTTGAGTGTCCAAGGCTATAAATGGTACAAGAGAAGATTGTCCATCTTTGCCTCAAGAACTCCAGGTGGATTCTGATTTGCAGAGAAGCAGAGCACTTGGGTTGACAGTACAACTCCTTATAGACTCTGCCACCAGAGGCCCCTTACTACTTGCCAGGGTATTTTATTCTAAGGTATATTAGAAGATAAAGTCATTGAAGAATTCTTTAGTTTTTATGCAGAACACACATGGAACACAGAATTAGTATTGGCTCAATGTTAGAAATTGGTTTTAAGTGCCTTCCTGTTGACTCTGATCCCTATCTACACTATTTACAATAGAATGAAACCCTGCCCAATCTCACACCACACTTACAATCTCTCCTGTGCATAAGTCATCATTATTTCTGTCACTATGTCAACTTACCTCCTTGACGTTCTTCTTGTTGGCTGACCTACCTTTCCAAACACCATATTCTTTTTCAAGAACAGGCCCCTTCCCAAAGTACATGAGACAAAATGTTACCACTCTTGCTTCTAAGGGACACTTTGGCTTTACTTCTTCTGAGATAAATTTGTCCTTTGGAAGTCATTTGTATATCCAATTATTCTTTGCCAACCCTACTATTACTATAAAGGCCAAAGTTATAGAGGGTGAACTTGTAATGCTGGCAACATTGTTGTGTTGGTCCCAGCCTTTCAGGAAAGTATTAAGATACAACTAAGTGTGCACAAAATTTATTAGAGAGAAAATGAGGAGAGAAATAAGGAAAACTGGGATAGCCATCAGACTTCAGTACAAGCCGAGCCCCAAGTGAAAGAGACAAAGAAGGAAAGGGTGAGAATATTCCAGACCACTGAGCAAACTCAGGAAGACTCAACAAGCTCTCGAACAACAGCTGGTCATCAGGAAAGACGAATATCTTCAGGAAGGAGTCTATGTTTGCAGCTACCTTTACTGAAACAGCCCACCATAAGGAATACCTAGAAGCAAATGTGGCAATGCATTTCAGGTCAGCTGCAGGATCATCTCTCCAGTCAGATCCCTTTTTTTTTGGAAGTCTTCAAGGCACACTATTAAGATTGTGAACAAAAAAATGAATCTCCTAATTCTCCCTTTTAGACTCAAAAGTAGTGTATTGTAGCAAAGTGAAGGCTAAATGAATCTCTTTTAGAGTTCTACCTTCTATAATTTCTATTGATCTTTCAACAAGTTTAATTTTATTTGTTCTTTTGGCAATTCTTCACTCTTTAGAAAATTTCAGAGCAAATGGTTATTCATCTTTACTGGTCACGATAGTCTTTGAGAATTTGATGAAAACAATTCTCAAGCAAACACTCAAATGCACAGACACATTTAAAACAATGCACCTATTCAGAGATAACTCAAAGGTGAACAATCCTTTCATGAATTTATTAGCTATGGTTCTTAGGTTGCCAAATGGGTTCCTGTGAAATTTATTCTGAGCCTTATTTCATTCTATACTTGAGACTTATCCTTTAAACATTAATATACTGGAGAGGGCTAGTGTTCAGTAGGCTCCCTCATGTAGATCTTAGAAGACAACTGTTGAGGACCTAGTATTTGTTATTATGTTAAGCAATAATGAGCATAATGAATCATCACCACCCATCATGAACCAACCACTTCATAACATCAGCCATCCATTCTATCAGCAAGCACTTACTGAGTGTTTATGCAAGGTACTGAGGATGAAGAAGTGATTAAGACTGAGACTCAAAGGCAAGGGCATCCCTTGCTACAGTTCAAAAGGCCAATATCCCTGATGGAGAGCATATCTAGAGGGTAGAGATTGAATGGGGTTGAACTGTCATGTAAACACTGATTGCAGTGTGACTTTGATACAGTTCTCTAACTTCTCTGTGCCCTGGCTTTCTCCTTCGTAAATCGGGATATAACAGTACCCACATCATGAAGGTGTAGTCATGATTGATGCAACTGCAGTGCCTGGCACACACAAAGCACTAGCAATACATGCTGTAACAAGACTCTAGGCTCTGTTCCTACCTACGTTTTATAGAGAAGACGGCAGAGGCACCGAGACAGAGTGCCATATACAAGCTCCCACACATCTAGTAAACGGCAGAGGCAGAATTCAAGAGTTGAGATTCTAGAACCCAGGGTAGAAATTCCAAAGCCCAATGCAAAACTATCCTTCCAAAAAGCTTTCTCTGATCGGGTCAGCCACCATCTTTCCTTCTCTGAACATACCCAGTGTATTCAACCCATTCAACCCTATGGATCCTCTTCCTGGCATTATATAATTGTAGTATCCATGTTTATAATAATGGCTACCCCAAGGAAGAGTACCTTTTCTATTTTCTCTTCCTTTCTGCTCCTTGTCCTGGATATTTGTCCTCTTGCTGTGATCTAATCTCCCAGCACCTACATCCCTAAAACACCTCATGCTTATCTGGAGCCCAGATTGAACCTACCTCCCTGACTTGGTCTTTGAATGGTCACATTCACCTCACCTAAGCAGTAAGCCTGTGCTCGTTTTCTTGGTTCTATGAACAGGTTGGCCATGTATACATGGTGCTTTGAAGGGGATGGCTTGTATCATTGCCTCCTTCATTTGGAGAAGAGGCTAGAGATACCCTTCAATTTCTTTTCTATAGCTTCACGCAGAAGAGCTGTCAAGTATGTGCTGGGTATGTTCCGAGAAAGAAACAGAAGGCTGAGCTGGTCAAGAAAGGCCTTCTGGAAGGCTGGACTTACAAAGGCTTTGAGGCTACGTAAGCTTTACTAGTCAGAGAAGAAAGGCTGTTCACACACACCCCAACTTTGTCAGGAACAGTCCTTACTTAGGCTGGAGACAACCAGAAGACAATGGAGCCCAGAATGTCACCCGTTGGTGACTCCTCAAAGCTTATATGTATAGATAGTGAAGGAGGGTGAGAAGGGGGAAAGGAGGAATCATTTCCTCACACAAATTGTTTACCAACTGCATAATTGTAGCTGTAACCATTACCTCACTAATGCTTTTCAAACAGGCTTCTAATTTTAATGTTTAATTTTCAGTGACAATGTCTACAACTTTGATTTTCAGATTTTACGACCCTCTGCCTTGTGCAAATCAATGTCATTGATATCAATGATGAGATCCCTATCTTTCAAAAATCAAATGTGAGTAGTTGTTACTTTTCACCTTTTTTCCTCTTTTTTTTATATGACTTGATTTATACTTGCTGCTTAAGAAAGACACAGACTCAACTGAACTCACCTCACCACCATCAAAGCAGAATTGATTCATAACTGACTCTCCAAAGGGTTTTCAGAGACTGTAAACCACATAGGAGGAGACTGCCCATCTTCCTTCCTGGGAATGGTTGGTGGGTTCAAACCACCCACCTTTGGGTTGCAGCACAACTCTCTATCCACTAAAATTCCACATTTCACAGGTCGCCTTGGAAAACGTACCAGTAACAAGCCCAGACACCATTGTCTGTGGAAATCTCCTAAGAACAATACTCATTGTTATAATATCTGAGAATATCTGGTCATAAACTCTAGTCACAGCTTATTTATATACCTAGAACTGGTTAAAAATTACAACCACAAACTTTTTAAAATTAAAAATTTGTATGACCATTTACAGTTTGTTGCTATAAATTTTGTGCACATTGAGATGATAAATAGATTATTGGAAGGCCTCAAATGGCATTTTTAGTATTATAAAATCCTTAGTATTTGGAGTATTAAAATTGAAACTCACTGGCCAGTAATTGCATAAGAGGAAAAGAAAACAAGAAAAACCCTAAAACTTTAACATGAGCCAAAGAAAACGGCTCAAGATGCCTGCAAATATTAGGGGAATTGGTTAGAATCTAAGAAAAAGACCAGTTTAAAGCATCAAGAAAACACACAAATGTCTATTATTATTGGTGTGAATTTTAAGCTTATTGGTAGTTTTATCACTGCGTTTCTGAAAAGGAATGTCTCTATTTGTTTCTTTTGAAGCAGAGAGAATCTCATTTAACTAAATTGTTATATCATGTCTGAAGCCAATTGTGAGACAGCCCAGAGTCCTGTGAAGACATTCATAAATCAAAATAGGACAAGACCATGACAAAGAAAGGGAATTGATTTATGAGCAAACTTAAGGCAGTAAGAGGTGTGACTGGACGCAACTTGTCTAACAGGCACTGAGGTTAAGCAAGCATGAAATAGTCTTCTTTCTAGTCCCCAGTCTCCTGAGGCCTTTATTCTTCCCTCATTGATGATTTCTCTGCATTAGCTGGTGTTTCTAAGATTGAGGATATGAATCCTGGTTTGGAATAGCATGAGATGTGAGCGTCAGAGCTTAGAGTTCAAATTTGGTTATACAGGTAGACTGAGCCTCCTCTCATTACTCTGGTCCTCCCCTGGGCCCCACCTGTCATCATATCTAAGATCAGGATGCCAAGATGACCTGAGGGATCTTCAGTAGAGACTGGGAGATGGTGCTGGCCAATGAGGCTTTGGAGTTTGTTCATTTGAATATGCATTTGAATTTAACTTTGTGACTTATATGCGTCATCCTGGATGGATGTAACTTCTTCATCTGGGTAAAATAGACATGATAATATAATGAATTTCTAGAGTATTTTTTTGCATATTTTATTGAGCAGTTACTATGTGGCAAGAATTCAAAGGTTTTACATGCATTATTTATTTTAACTTTTGTTGCAAACATCAAGCAGATTCTATTCTTATTCTCTTCATTAGACAGATGATGAGTCTGATACTTAAAGAAATGAACTTGCTTCAAGTCCCTCAACTAATTAATGGCTAGCCCTAGGAGTCATACACAAGTTGTTTGACTCCAAAGTTTAATCATTTCAGTGTGTCTTGAATGATTTAAGAATTAATTAAAATAATGTATAATGTGTTTAAAAAGTATCTACATTGTGTTTGTTTATGTCATTATTATTACATAATTAAAATAATTATAATAGTTACTAAGCAGATCAGGCAAGAGAGGGGAAAATCTGTTTTAGGATTTTGACAGTAGCTCTCTGAACACAGCTGTATTCCTGGGTTAAATGTGCATCAGCCTTGAGTATTACTGATGTAAAAGTCAAGTTCAATAATTCCCTAACCAGAGAAACACATTTGATAAACATTGATATAAACAATGATGATTTCGATTTTAGCACCAAACAGACTAGCTTGTCCTTTGACAGTTTTGTTTGATGACAATAAACATTCTCATTATTTCCTCCTTAGTATGGGAACTTGACTCTTGCTGAAGACACACGTGTTGGCACTACCATCTTAACCATTCAGGCCACTGATGCTGATGAGCCTTTTACTGGGAGTTCTAAAATCCTGTACCGTATAATAGAAGGTGACAGTGAGGGAAGACTAGAGATTGACACAGATCCCAGTACCAATGCTGGATATGTCAAGATTAAAAAGGTAAGGAAGCAGTCTGCCTAGTGGAAGTTGTCTCTTTGTGTATTAACATGCTTGTGATCACTGGAGGGTCTCTAAACAGAAGTGCTGGATTAGCACTGGTGTCAATGACTCTTAGAATGTGACCCATCATTCCTGTCATCTTGAAAAACAGAAGGCCAAGTAACCTTTGAAGAAGAAGTTAAGGTTGTCACATAAACTATAAGACACCCAGTTAAACTGGAATTTCAAATAAACAAAAATTGCTTAATAAACATGTGCTTCAAATGTTGCTTGCATGGAATACATGGAGGCTTTAAAAAACAAAAACTGTTCATTGTTTATCTGAAATTCAGACGTGTGTGTGTGTGTGTGTGTGTGTGTGAATGTACCGTCAAATCAGATCTGACTGGTACAGGAGGAGATTGTCCCTCCTTCCCTGGCAGAGCATGTGGTGGATTCGAACCGTGCGCCTCTGGGATTGTAGTTGCAGCTCCTTGCCACTAGGCCACCAGAGCTCCCCTGAAATTCAGATTTAATGGAAAGGTTTTTAGATTTATTTGCTTTATGTAGCAACCTTGGAGGGGTTCACTTGGCCTTACAGAGTTTTATTCCCCCATTGCAAATGTGGTCATTTCTCTGCATTACTCCTATGACCTCTCCTGACTCAAGCCATAGTGTTTTCAATTGCTTCCTATGCACATGAAAGTCGGACAGTGGACAAAGAAAACCAAAGAAGAATGGATGTCTTGAATCGTGGTATTGATGAAGGATATTGAATATCCCACAGGCTGCCAGAAGAATGAACAGATGTGTCTTGAAAGAAGTGCAAGCAAGCTGCTCCTTGAGGCAAAAGTGGTGAGACTTTGTCTTGCATACTTGGGCCACATTGTCAGGAGTGTTCAGTCTTTGGAAAAGGACATCATGCTAGGAAAGGTGGGGAGGCAGCAAAGGAGGAGAAGATCTTCAACAAAACGGATTGACCGTGACTCTAACAATGGGCTTACTTACGCACGGTGGACAGTGTGAGGTTGGCACCTGCTGGGTCAGGATTCTGACTTGCGGTAGATGGGGTGACTATGAGTCAAAATTGGATCAATGGCATCTGATAACAGCAACAACAACACACAAACTCACAAATTTAATTCTTAAGGTCTTACATAAAAATCTTCTATAAACACTTTTAGAATAAGGACTGGAAAATTGCCGGTTTCTCATTAAGATTTATAGGCAAGCTTATAATTTTATTTCAACCCTCTCCCCAAACTTTCATATGGGATAATGTTGTTCAACTCTCTGGCTCTTATCTCTTCCACTGCAAGGGTTGTGTAGTCTAGAGGAAAATTTACTTAGTATTTCTTTGCTTCTTTACACAGGATTTCTACTCCCTCCCCAATTCCTTAACCTACTCCTCTTTTGCGATGCATACCTGATTTAAAAAAAAAAGTTATTTAATTTTACATTGATTTGCATACAAAGTTTGTGTACATTGTGTTTCACACTATCCTTCATTCACATTTTGTTTCATATAGTCATTCTTATTCATTATGTGTTATAAAATCATTCACCATCAAGCCATACCCATCATTACCCTGTCTTTCCAGATCCTTGCTGGATCTTTCCCGTTTCCCTTACCCACCCTTCCACCCACCAAATGGTGCGACCCTTTGATTTTTTCCCCCTGTCCACTCTGACCTCTCTGTTCCCACCCCTTCCACACTTGCATCTCTATACATGTTTTACTAGTTATCCTTTTGTTTTTACAATAAAGGTCCAATGCAATATTTATCCTTAGAAGGTCAAGTTAGTTTACTCAGCAAAATGTCCTCCAGAATATCTGAATTCTTTTTTTTATTTAAAAAAAAGTTTTATTTTATGCTATTTTACTTACAAAGTTCGTAAAAAATGGATCTTTTCCATTTTATTTACCCACCCCTTCCTCTACCCATTGGATTGTGGGACCCCACCATTACCTCCTTGTCCATCCTCATCCCTCTGCTTCTACCCTCACCCCCATTTGGATCCTCATATGAGTTTTACTAGTTATATTTCTATTTCTACAATAGTGGTCTAATGTAGTATTTGTCTGATGGGACTGAGTTAGTTCACTTAGCATAACGTTCTGCAGTCTCTCCCAAGCTAGGTAGTAATTTTCAAAATCATTGCTCCTGCTCGTGCTGTGTAGTATTCCATCATGTGAAGGTACCATGACTTCTCAAGTTGTTTGATTGTGGTTGGATATTTGGGCTGTTTCTAAGTTATTTGCAATGGTGAATAATGCTGCTATGAATATTAGTGTACAAATCCTTGTTTGTGCATCAGTTATCACTTTCTCAGGGTATATTCCAAGCAGTAGAATGGGTCATATGGAATTTTTATATTCAGCTTTTTGAGGAAATGCCAAACTGCCTTCCAGAATAGTTGTACCATTTTACAATCTCACCAATAATGTATAAGAATTACTATCTTGCCACATCTTCTCCAACGTTTATTACTTGCTATATTGTTAAACTTTGCCACTGCTACTGGAGTAAGATGGTATCTCATTGTGGTTTTGATTTGCATCTCTCTTATTGCCAGTGATTCTGAACATTTCTTCATGTGTCTGTTGGACATCTGAATATCTTTCTCTGTGAAAATTCTTTCCATGTCTTTTCCCCATTTTGTAATTGTGTTATCAGTCTTTTTCTTGTGGAGGTCCTGTAGGATTCTGTAAACTTTTTATACGAGACCCTTGTCTGAATGGTATTGCTAAATGTTTATTTGCAGTCAGTAGGTTTTCTTTCCACGCTGTTGGAAAATGTTTTTGATGTGAATTTACTCTTTAGGAAGTCCCATTTATCAATTTTATCCTCTCCACATTGTGCATTTATTGCTGTATTTGGCATTCTCTTTATAGACTAGGCCATCTAAGCCTGATCACAGTGTATCTCTTATACACTTGATGGTTATGGGCTTTACTCCAAGGTCTCTGATCCATTTGGAAGTGATTTTTGTGTATGGTATGAGATGTGGATCCTGTTTCTGCTTTCTGCAGGTAGCAGTCCAGTTTTGCCAGCATCACCGGCTGAAGAGGTTGCCATTTCCGCATTTGATAGGGTTTATTTCTTTGTTGAATATCAGTGCCTGGAACTCTGAATGGCACCAGCTACTGGACTAGCCAATTGCTTATACCTCTTCAGACAGTGATCATGATAGATAAACTACATTTTTATCCAAAATGCCCATCTTGATCACTATGGGTACCAGTCAGAAAAAGATATTTTTCCAAGGTCATTTTGCCAATTAAAAACCTTCTGACAGAGATACCACTAACTGAAGACCTGTAGTAATGAACTCTAGAATATGGAACCCTGATTTAAAAAATCAAATCCACTGCCATCAAAAAATCAAATCTACTGCCATCAAGTGAACTTTAATTAGCAGTCACACCATAGGACAAAGTAGAACCGTCCCATGGAATTTCCAGGGCTGTAAATCTTTGTGGAAGCAGACTACTATGTCTTTCTTCCGTAGCACTACTGATGAGTTTGAACAATGGACCTTTTTTGGTGAACAGCTGAGTGTTTTAACCATTGTGCTACTGAACAGTTTCTTAGACCCTTGCAAATTTGTTCATCTCAGATAAAATTAATAGTAGAACCCATGTAATGTAACCTCAGCCCATTGCATGTCACAAGGCAATTCTGCATACATGCCCCTTTCTTCTAACACTGAGTCTGATGAAGTTAGGGGAGAAAGATGCCACCCTCTGCATAATGAGGTTCAGGCCCAAGAGAGGTACAGTCAGGTAACCCTACAAATTGATGGCAAGGCTGAGAGGACTTGACTCCAGCTCTGACACCCCTTATGGTTTATAGTGTCATGTATTGGTTCTATGATCTTAGAGAAATGATATAACCTCATAGGCCTCAGGGTTTTTTATTTGGAAAAAAAAGTATGAAATGGTTGTTGTTGCTGCTGTGTATCGTCAAGTTGGTGCTGACCCACAGCTGACTCTCCAACAGGTTTTCAAAAGCAGTAAATGACACAGGAGGAGATTGTTCATCTTTCTCTTACGGAGTAGCTGGTTGGTCTGAACCAAGTAGCACTTCCTTGGCAACCACAAAAACTTAGTGGTAAAATCACAGCAACTTCTTAAAAGATGAAGAGATGCTAAAGAATTCCAGTATACAGATGATTAAAAGTAGACAATAATCTCAACTCAAACTCGTTGCTCTGGAATTGGAACTGACTCATAGTTGACTCTCCATTGGATTTCTGAGGCTGCATATTTACCCAGGAGGAGAGTGTTCATTTTTTCTCTCATGAAGCTGCTGGTGAATTTGAGCTGCCAGAGGATCAGAGCCCTTGAGTTAGCAGCACAAGTCCCTATTTGATCCTAAATCAAAAGGCATGTTGAAGTGGAAAAATCAGCAGTCAAGTACCTTTCCAAAATGTGAAAGAGCAACAATGTCAGTTTAAAGATTAAGATTTACTGGTTTTGAGTCATGGTATTTTCAGTTGCTTCTTATGTGTCTGAAAGATGGACATTGAATAAAAATGAAGGAAGAAAAAAAATTCAAGAAGAAGAATCAATGCCTTTGAATTGTGATGTTGGAGAAGAGTACTAAGTACCCTGTGAGCTGTTAAAGGAATGAGTCTGTCTTTTTTTTTTAAAAATTTTTTTATTTTTATTTTTATTTTTATTTTTGTGTGCGTGTACCGTCAAATCAGATCTGACTGGTACAGGAGGATATTGCGCCTCCTTCTCCGGCAGAGCATCTGGTGGATTCGAACCGTGTTCCTCTGGGAGTGCAGTGCAGCTTCTTGCCACTAGGCCACCAGAGCTCCCCTGGAATGAGTCTGTCTTTGAGGAATTGCAGCCAACCTAACTCCTTAGAGACAAGAATGGTCAAACTTCTCACTACTTTGGGCACATTATTAAGAGGAGCCAGTCCTTGAAAAGAGAAATCATTCTGGAAAAGGTGGAGTGCCACCTTTTCTGGAAAAGTGCCACCACTGGAAAGTGAGGAAGACCAGAG